CGATTTTACAGGTTATAGATACAAATTTAAATTTTTTCGGTTAGCTGCCCTGCACTGCTTGCTCTACCTCCAGACCTAGGGCAGTCAGTTCACTGAACTCGCTGCACTAGTTCAGCCTGTTCGAAAGAACACATTTTCGTGCACTGTTTTGATCGAAAGAACGCATTAGTGCAAACTTCGTGAACTAGTGCAGCCAGTTCAGGTCGAAAGAACAAACCTAATGTGTGGCACGCGCGCTGCATAATCGTCGCAGGAGACCGCGGGCTTTTTCGAAAGTTCATCCGGAAAAGCCGGTCCGGAAGTGGTGTTAGCCACGATTTTATTCGCACGCGCCTCGCGATTTCCGATCGCTGGCTAACCACCAAGCGCATTGCGCACCAAGGCGGTCGTAAGAAAACTTTGCGCAACACGAGTGGTCGTAAAAATTCCTCGCGCGATAAACCAGCGGAAGCGGAATAAAACAATGAAACTGATACGCGAGTCGCGCTGGTCGGTAAACGATTCTCTTTCCTGCGCCGTGTAAATGCCAAGAACGTTCTTTCCCTTTCCTTTTCTCATCTCTTACTGTTAATAGAATTTTGTCCTCATTTTTATTGCAATTTCATTTTATATTTTCCTTTCATATTTTTATTATTTATACCAGTACATATATTTTAAAAAAATGTTTCAAATGAAAAAATATATTTTTTTATCTTAAAATCGTAGCTTTTTATGAAAAGGCAATTTTTCATTTAAATCAAATAATATAAATCTAAGTAAATATGTTATATTAGTAGCCACTGCGTAAGTATTCGTATTTCTTAGATATTTTAATATATAAATTTCCGTTATCAGTATTTTTGAAGATGCACTTTTAAACTTGTCCTTAGAAAAGTTACTTTAAGACTAAAAATGTTTCTTTCTCTCTCTCTTTCGCTCTCTGTCTATTTATCTACCTCTCAAGATCAAAGAATCGAGTTCTGCGGCTTGAGGGGGAGTTCCTCGGAATGAAATTCTCCTAAGCGTGAGAGACAGAGAGAGAGAGAGAGAGAGAGAGAGAAAGAGATCGGTGAATTCCGCCAAGTTTGATCGATATTACAACGATTAACGGAATACCACCATCTGATTCGCCCGAGAGCGATCGCCGCGCTCGAAATGGAAATGCCAATCGCCTATGAGACCACTTCACGACTCCTAACATTCCCGCAGCTCTTGTAATTCTATCGGATTTCCTGCAGGGATTAAGAGAGATCTGGCGAGATCGTGCCGTCCGCGAAATCCCTCTCGGGCACTGCTGCGCGTTGCATTAATATTTCCACGCCGCGCCGAGACACACACACGTTCTCTTTCTCTCTTTCTTCCTCTCTCACACACCCCACCGGTCCGAATAACGCGCGCGAGGCGTTACAAAATAATGAGAATCGTTAAACTTTCCAGGTTTTGCAACGTGAGCGAGCGAACGGGCGAACGGCCGCGCCGGGGCGACCGCGGTGACGCGTTTAATGTTCGCGGGGTTGTTCGTGCTTCGGGGTTGCGCAAAACCCGCGGACCGATCGCCCTCTTACCGCGCAAAAGAGACCGGCGTGGCCTTAGAGTCGCGGGTAATTACGGCGATCGGTCGAAAAAACGAAATCGCCGACGACGGTGGCGACGATGACGAGGAAATACACACTTCACTTCTCGCAGAACATAGAACGCGACGTTCCCCTCGTAAAAATCGTGCCCTTGCGCTCTCCTACCGACGATGTTACTCCAAGGAGAGCGGGCGAGAGGTGAGACTTCCACAGCACGCTCTGGATGTGATTCAGAGCTAAATGCGTTCGTGGCTGTGTGAGCTAAATGCGTTCGTAGCCCCAGAGACTTCCATGATTGCCACGATGTGAGATAATCGATGATGAAACTTTTGCGATTGTTATTTCACTTAATTTTACTTTCTTTCCACCTCTTTATGAGTCGGAGACCTCGATCCTTTGATCCTAAGGAAAAAAGGTGAGAGAGAAACAGTTATTTTTAGTTCTGAAGTCCCCTAAGGACATGTTTAAAAGTGTATCTTAAGAAATATTATTATTATTGTAATTTTAATTTTATTTAAATTTATTAGTGTTTAAAATGAAAAATTAAAACATTTTTTCTCAATTTAAGGAGCAATTATATTAACATACGTTATATATTATTAATTTATTATTTATTAATTATTTGAAGGAGACGGAAAACTTGATTATTCCTCTTTAACTTATTGAGCTAATTATTCATTATTACTGTATCTGCTATGGAGTAATTTTATTTAAATTTGTGGGATAGTTTTTTTTTAATTTATAGATCAAATACCGTATTGAATTTGACTGATGTATCAAATCAGTAATCTACCACCGTAACAGTCTTACGTCAATGTTCAACGAGGGAATTATAAAATACTAGTAACCTAATTACAGCACGCCATTCAGTCAATGCCATGCGACACCGGTCGATGTCGATGCGAAAGCAATCGGAGATATTTCAATTGCGATGAGAAACCAGCTTGGGACGTCTTTTCACGGGATTTCTCCGAGAAGCCGGCGAGAAGGATCATTATACACCGGTTAGAGCTATCTCGTTCCTCATCTTACGGTGTATTATCTAATTAGTCTAGGAGGAGCCGTAATAATGGCTCCATTGTTAGCGGAATGCGTACGCGCGGCAACTTCTCAGGGTATAATAGCGAGTTTCGACACGCAGCAACGTCCAGCGAGACGAATGACTCGCTAATGGAAAAAAAAAGGATCGCACGCTTTTCCGCCGCGCGCGGAAAGCTAAATCGGCCGATTCGCAGGAACGCGGCCGCATTTCGCGCCGTTGCGAAATTAATATTGTACATAGAGATTGTGAAATCGCGCGCGAATTAATTGGACATGAACGGACGGAGTTTTCGCGCCGACGCCGCCCTAATCGACGGAACCAAGCGCGCGAAATGACCCCCGACAGGTTTCGCGGAATTTCGTGATCGTCATAGAAGATCAAGATCGCTTGAAAATTAAGCACCCAGTAAATATCATTTACTGGAGGTAAGTAGACTACGAATTATGTAATAATTTAAAGCATTGAATCGCTTAGCTTCGTTGGCGAACAACAATGCAATTGATCTTTATTGTCATCTCTGAGTTTCGAGACTATTATTATTAACTATTTAAAGTGCCGTGTTACATGTGTTGCACAAAATCAATGATTTCTGCAAATAAATAAATAAAAAATGACAAAAAGCAATATAAAAATAATCTTGTAAAATTAAATAGATTAGGAGAATAGATTATTTCCAGCGCAGAACATCTCGTGTATACATTAGAGGGGAGGGGGGATTTATTATATATCTATTATTATTATAATTTATCATACATGTATATATAAAAATACTTATTTTATGCCTCGTTTCTCTTTCAACTTTCCACTTTTGTCTTCTAACATCGTGCTCTTCCGCAAGCAGAAACCTCGAGTGCACAGTTCAGTGCGTTTTAAGTAACATTAGATGCTATCTATTTCATCGACGAGCCGTTGCGCTCGCGAAAGATTTATTGTGCCAACGGCCAGCGTAACAAATGGCGTCACGATCGTATTCGCGATCGTCTTAATACCGATTTGTACGACGGACCCGATCGCGATCGATGGCGACGAAGTAGGACCGGGGTTGCGTCGATGCGCGTGCAACTTTTACGGTGAGCACGTTTCGTGCACGTTTCGTGCGCGCGTTGCCAGGTGTAATTGGATGTGCACGCTGATGGAGCAGCTGATTAGGACGTAACGCGCCGCAGGGAGAGAAATATGGGGCGCACAGGAGAGCGAGAGAGAAAATCGTCCGGATGCTTTTTGCGACTTGTGCAAGGCATATGCGAAACTGCGTCCAATTCGGACAATCGTCGATAACCCTGCATGCGCGCTTTCGATCGTTTTTCTTTCTGTTTCCTTTTCTCCTTTTTTCCCACTTTTTCCTTTTCTTAAATTTTTTATTTTAAGAATCCATCAGGTGGGAAAGTCATATCGCCTGACGTGAAAACACACACGTGGCACTGGCCACGTGAACGGTAAGCCAAGAAACGATTTCCACCTTATGCTATTTCCACGGCGAAAAGGCTGTAATTTTCTGAAATGCCTACAAGACACCAAGCGATCGTCGTCAATTCACTTGATATGATCGCGAACGAGCGCATTACTGTACCTCGTGTCATTCTCCCTCTCCCCCCGCGACACATAAAACTATTTCCCTATGCGATCTTGTGAAACGCCGTAATTTCCCAAAACGAAAGATACAGCTGGGCAGCAAATTATGCGTCGATCGATCGATCTAATCGCGCGGTGATCTAACTGCGCCGTTTTTCCCCCCTCGTCCCGTCTCCCCTCTCCTCGCCCCCGCTGCACACTCAAACGGGACGCATGCATACTCACGCACACACGTAGGTAGGTTTTCCCTACGCAATCTCGCGGTACGCTATAATTCTGCGAAATGAAAAATACAGCGATCTTGCAAAATGTCGAGGCGACTGCTCGTAACGCGAGTCGTGATCTCTCGCGCGCGTGCACCCGGCCGCCGTTCTTTATTCGCGCGACGTGCGCACCTGATTCTCGTTAACCGGGTTAACAAGTTGCAGATTTCGTAGGCGACGACCGGGGGAGGGTGGGGAGGGGCAGGGCAAGGGGCCAAGAAGAGTAAGGGGACACGTAGTGCCGCCTCTAAGGTGGTCCAGCAGGTGGTCCTCGGCATCCCTCGGGCTCCCGGAGGGGCGTCCCGGCGTTGGTTCCTGTAAATCGGAAACGAAGGGGCCCGCTGTCGGGCCCGCGGCAAACTCGCTCCCGTCGAGTCGCTCCCGATAAGGGAGACCCGAAAGGGTCGCGCTCCGCCATTGGTCGGTGAAAGGGGTCCGCGTTGCACGGCGGTGCAACCGACTGCGAGCAGCGCAGCGCATACCCCCCGCCTCATCCCTGAGCCGTGCAGGGACCTGGGCAGGGCACAGCTATAAAAGCATACCGCGTCGCCCCTCGGATACGTAGTGTTTCTCGCGTACCACACAAGAAAAACTGTCCACCATGAAGTTCTTCGTAAGTTTCTCCACTCGCTCACGTAACCGCGGGAAGGCGAGGAAGTAATAAGATCTTGCCGCTGTGTGATGATTGCCAGCGTGATTCCCCGCCGCCGCCATCGTCGCCGTTGTTATCGTTCTTGCCGCGGACAATTTGCATATCGCACGATGCACAGTCTCGCACGGAGTACCTCTCAAGCCACGACTTCCCGCGCGCGAACGCGTCGAGCACAATGAGACATGAGACGTAGAACGAGACCGCGCGCTTATCAGCCGCGCGACTATGAGTCCTTTGCTGATCGATTTTTTGCTCATAGGTTGTCGAGAAAATTCAGCTGCTATCGGATCGCCCTGATTTTCGCGGATCATTGTTAGATTTCATGTTCTACGCTTTCGTGTAGAACATTTATGACTTATGATAATTTAATAAAATATCTTCGTACAGAGACACTTTAAGTATGAAACGGAAGAGTTTCCCGATGCGTTCCAATTGATATTTAATAAGATAAGAGAAATCTCATGTTGTTATACTCGTTGTTTGATTGGATTTCTTTTCGTTGTAACACACCGGGGGAGATATCTGTGCAACTGTCGAGATTACGAATATGTCCGCGGCGCTAATTAAATTCACATTCAATCCAATTGAGATTCAATCATGTCGTATTATACCTAACCGCGTTGTATCATTGCAGATTGTCCTCCTTGCCGTTGTGGCGGTCGCTAGCGCCGGATATATCGGTGGTGGATATGGTGGTGGATATGGTGGTGGCCACGCCGTAAGTATTTCGTCACTTCAGGAAAAAAAATGCGCGATTTGAACGCGATAATTCGGCGAAAGCTGCAAGATCAGATTTTTTTCATTGCTCTCTTTTCTTAACATTCGCGATACATAAATTTATCTTTATCTCATATAAAGTAATCTATTTATCTGTTTTAGTACATATATTTCTTATTAATTTCTTGTGTGTTCATTTCATTGTTTTATTATACTAGTAGTAACAACTGTTTAGTAACAACTGTGTGACATTAATTTCTTCAACGCAGCACAAATTAACGACCATTTAATTCTCGACTCGATCTTCGCGATTAATCGACTAAACTGGTCGAACTCGTCGGACATCTTGATCCAACTGTCATTAATGTCTTCTTAGCCATCTTAAGCACGACTCTCTTCTCGCATACTCTTCGTCACCCGAGCGAGATACGAGCGAGGCTCGGGCGGGCCGCAGTTTAACAAGGTGTTCGGCTGCGACCATCATTTCTCCCTCGCGAGTCAATTATCCTTCAAAGAGGACTCCTGAAGAAGTCATGAATTAATCTCACGAAGCGAAGTCGAAGTTCCTCGTCGCTGTTCATCAAGCACGTCGTCTAACGCATTCCATCGCGATCACAAACTTCAACTTCTCTCTGTTCTTCTCTCCAAGTTGTCCAATACTGCACTTGTCACATTTTCTCTCTCTCCCCCTCTCTCTTTCTTTCTTCCGACGACCGTGTCTCGTAACAAAGTATCACTCTCGAACTCCACTTCACTTCTCTGCAGCATCGTTCTTTTCTTCGCGACTCTTTATCCTCACTCTTCAAGTAACTCTTCATCTTCTAATAATGCATCGTTCCAGTCGACCAACGAGGTGAATTTACCTCCATCTGTGTGTTTATTCATTCATCTTTCTCTCTCTCTTTCTGTCAACTTCTTTGGCAACCGAATCGCTCTTGGTGAAGTAACACGAAGTGACTAACAGCGTCGTCGACGCGACTGGTCTGATCTGAGAGACTTTTTGACGCACTCAGATCGCACAGCCCTGGGTGGCTCCAGCCGCATTGGTGCACGCTCCAGTGGCGCACAGCCCGGTAGTGCACGCACCCCTGCCTTGGGTGGCGCCCGCGCCGAATTACGTCAAGGTCACCGCTCCCGTGGCGTACGCCAAGGTAATAAGAAAGAAGCTAGGACGTGGATCTCATTGAAGTCTGATTGCCTCAATCAGAGAACGCGAGTACGAGTATATTCATTTCATCGAGTCCCATCTTGGATCTAAAATCCGCACGATATTGCTGTAAAAACCTGAAATGTTCGAGAACGAGGAGAACCATGAGGAAGGAGAAAAGAAGGTATTCTGAGCGTCTTCGCGAGATGCGAAGTCGTTCACGGTCTTGCGCGAGCTTCAATACGTCGATCCAAGTGCAATGCAGTTTTCTAATCTCCGTGTCCAGCGCGGCACTCTCTTAAAGTGAATCAGAGAATAATCACCGATATCAGTTACAAGTATAGCACTGAGCACTCTCAGTACAACACTTATAACTGCAAATCAATGTATATTCACTATTTTCAGTGATGTTTCACTGATTCATTTTAAGAGAGCACGAGATGTGTCCGAGGGAGAGGAAATCCGGGAGATATAGATCGTTGGAGAAACGAGTCGTTGCTCCAATTGACAGTCGCTCTGCTAATCGGGGACTTCGAGAAACGTTGCTCTCGAGCTGAGGAACGAGCGTGGGCCTCACAGTGAACACCGGTCGCTCGGTATCGTGCCGCTGATTGCGGTCCGTTTTGTCGTCCTAACGACCGGCCGATTTCTAATGTTACGTTGCGCCGAGATCTGATCGGTGGTTACGTGTCCGCCGGCGGTTACGTGTCTGCAGCGCGGCGAAATAGGTGTCCGACAGTTAGCTAATTGGGTTTCCTGCTTAATCAGGCCCATAAAGGCTGCCATGGCGAAACCCCGCGGCTCGATCGTGCCGAAATCACCGGGCTCGCTTGACTGTTCATGCAACGAACCCTCATTAAAATTTCCTAAGTGTTTCCCGAATTAGCGTTCTGCCGCTTGTTTCCGCTACCGTCTAATAGCGGCTTTTGCGGTAGCACTTTGGAGGCTGCCGGGCTCGTTAGAGCCAGCGGATTTCCACGATTGTTTTCGCGAGAGTGGTCCTGGGATAGACGGGATTTTGTTTAATAATTACAGCTTTGCTGAAGCTATCCGTTTGTCGTAAAGTCAAGTTGAACAACTGATTTTGATAACAAACTGAAATAATTAAACATCTATTATTAAAGTAAACCACTGATTACTTATTCATTGTAATTGAAGCAAATAATTTATTTTGTTTCGTTTTCATCAATTTATTAATTGATTATCTACTTATGCAGTATTCTCGACATATAGTAATGGAAGGAACATATCTGGAAGAATAATATTTGTGTTATAAGAACTGCTGACAGTTACTAGAACTATCCAAGTCGTACGTTTTCCCTAAGTTTTCAATTGCTCACGCGATTGTTCTCTCAGCTTTGATTACTTACAACCGACATAGAGAGAGAGAGATGGTTTCAATAAGACCGCGGGGAAGTTGGAAGTCACGATATTTCGCTTACAAGTGCGATCAACGGCTAATGATAATTTGTTTCTAATGCAGCAGTCGTACCATGTGGCCACCATCGCTCAGGCTCCAGCGATCCCGGCACCTCACCCGGCGCCGATCTCCTACAAGGGCAACGAGCACGTGAACAGAATACATTATAACGGAAACACCAATGGTCATCCGCATCTGGTCGGCATCGAGCACTACGTAGCGGCGGCTGAGCCAGCCATCGGCGTCGTTAAGGTTGGCCACGGCCACGGCCACGGCTGGTAAAGTCCGAGCGCGCAAAACCTCAACCACCGAACGTACCCGCCGGTCCAGAGTGGTCCACAACGCGCGACCGCTGTCCCGAGGCCTCGACATCCACGGCGACCATCGTGACGGCCCGGCGCAGGCCGAGCTGTGCCTACGGGCTACCTCGGCACCCGCCGACGTCGGCGACAACGGCAGCAGCAGCACCAGCGGCAGCGGCTCCCGCACCCCTTCTGCTCGCCCCCGTGATTCGACCGCCTCAGGATGGACGCGCGTTATGGACCAGCCGCGGACCGCAGACCAGGCAGAGCCAGACTCAAGAAAACAGCAGTCGTCCGCAAATTCTCACGATTACCTTAGCGCTACATATGACACGCAATCACAAACACATACACAGACACGAAAGACAACATCCGCGTTCGGCAATCTATCACGCAACGATCTACCACCCCGACCATTGCGTTCATCACCACCTGTCAACAGCGTAAAATTTCCGTGCGGCGTGTGATACTTGAAGAAGACGTCACGCAACATCAGACAGAGCGTTTTTACTTCTTGCCCCGCCCCACCACCCATCCCCCCGCCAAACCATCACACCGATATCATCGTCGGTCTTTTCTCGGCCCCTCTAGAAACATTCTTCGTTCCCCTTCTCATTCGGACCCCGACAGTCCCTTCTGTCCCTCTATTTTTTTTCTTCTTTGTCCGCGGTGCAATTTATTTATTTTCTAATAAAAAGTTGACTTTTACGTCTTGTGATAAAAACAGACTAGTTTCGCTGGCGTTTCATTCGACGAGCCCCCTTTTCTGCCCGCCCGTCCGTCCCACGTACGGTGGTAACGCGTCACCGTCGCCGCCGCCGCCACCGCCTTCGTGATCATTGGATTGGAACAAACAAAATGGTAAAAAATCCGTGCTACGTGATACCCGCACGTACGACGCAAAAACAAATTGCGCAATGCCCTTTCCGAAAGGGTGTCGCGTTCTAGCGCTGCGCCGCTCTAACAGCCGACGTTTCCTACTGGCTTTTTCCGGACGAGCCGCATTCCCTCGGAGTCTCCGCAGGATCAGTCGTGTGTAACAAACATGTGTTTACAGGTATTACGTGCGCGCGCGTGCACGAGGTTGCGCTTTAATGTCTCCGTGAAAGTTCCCCATGAACTGGGTCATTTTGCGAAACGGGATTGCATCAAGCGAGTCAGAAAAAAGGAATAAAAAAAAAAAGGAAAATTCCCTGATAAGAGTTTGCCAAGCAGCCGTTTAGCATATATTAATAGCGGCGAATAAATATTAACTATTTTGACGATCGACCTGAAAGGGTAGAACTGTGACGTCATCTGTCCCAGGTGTGCGAGCTGTTGTAAGAGGTTAATTATAAACGTTCCACGCACAGCGTTTCATACGCTGTATGGAATGTATTCCAAACCAGACAGTAACAATTATATTGCGTGGGAAAATGTATATTGATATGTCTATTTATTATTACCTGATGTCGTATTATATATAATATATAATAAAATCATATAATATTAGTTATTATATTATAATTATATAATATAATAATATAAAATTATATAATAAATATAATATATATATATATATATATATATATATATATATAATGAAAAACATGTAATATTATAAGATAATATTTTTATAGTAGCCAGTAGTGAAACTCTACCTTTGGAGAGACATGGTGACATGCCGCTTTCCGCCTCACGGAAGCCCGATTTCACGAGTTTCGAGAGTTTCGAATTTTATGAATTCAACCTAAATTACCTTCAAATTATTTTCAGCACCAAATTCCATGCATCGAATTCTTATCATTGCACAACTCGATAATTGATTCAAGCGTGTAGCGACGTGTGCGCCTGCAACTGGAATTAGAAAATAAATAAAATCGCGTTGCGTAAGGAGAAAACTACAAAAGGCCAGCCAAGTTGAGCCAAATCAACCGCTTGGGAATCTGTGAAGTCGACTAATATGACTATAAATGTAACTCGCGAGGTTTTGGTTATGCAACATAATTAAATCCCCGAGAATGTTAATGCAACAGAATGTTCACCAGATTAACTGCATGTTGCAATGAAATAACAAGACAATAGAAAAGAATAATAAGATGATAAGAATAAAACAAAGATGAAAAAAATAGCATAAAATATCATAAAATGACAAAATAGCAACAATAAAATAACGAGATGATACAATAAAATAACAAAACAACAAGAATAAAATAACAAGATATGGTACAATAAAGTGAACAATTTTGTATTATATTACCAAGATGATTACGACATCCAAGAGAAACGAAATACGCGCGCGACATGTATTACGGAGTTTAATAAAAAAAAAAAAAAGAAGACATACAACTCGTGTTATGCAGTACCAAGTCCCGAGTTCCCCTTCCACACGCGACCTTATCGAATAACACGTCCGGTCGGCGTAACTAGCTCGCGCGACCTTTGAGATCTCTTTTGGAAAAGCGACGGAGCGACGGTGCAAAGAATGCAAAAACGAGGCGACTGTGTCGCCGATTCATTTTTTCCCGATTCTTGCGCGATTCTTGCGGAACAACAGCGCAATCCCGCGAAACTCCGCGAAATACGGAGCGCGAGAGATCTCGCAAATCCACGATCGAACTCCGTTAATCACTGTAATCTAGCGTCACGCTTTAGCACGACATCGCCGGCATTCTCGATTCGAGCGGCGCATGTAGACCGAGGATTTTTTTCACGAACCGGATCAATGACGCGGTCGACAAGCCTCCGCCGCCGCCGCCGCAACCGCAACCGCGTCCCCCCGTCACGCCCGACGACCTCGCGATTCTCTGCGCGTCCTCGAGGGTGTGATGCGACGCGGATGTCATCATCGTCGTCCTCGTGCTTCTTCTGTCTTCGTGGCTGTCATCGTGACACAGGAAGTGTCACTGGCTGGTCTCAGTTGGCCGGACACCCAATAAGGGGTCCGAAAGGGTCGCTCGCTAGGTGCTGGTGAAAGGGGTCCGTGCGCTACGCGAGAGTCGTACCCCCCGCCTGATCCGGAGCGGCTGGGCTTGGGCTGGGCCCAGCTATAAAAGCATATCGCGCGCCCCTCGAACACGTAGTGTTTCCCGCATACACGCAAGAAAAACCGCTCGCCATGAAGTGCTTCGTAAGTTGTGGCCTCTTCTCGCAGTACCTTTGCCCGTCGCACAATTCATTTGTTTCTGCACACTCACTCTCGTTCCTTGTGAACTTGTCGTGCGTTGCACATGCTTTGTCTAATCGCCTAATAACTGAACTTTGCCCCTTTATCTCTGATCTTTCGTGGCCTCTTCAGAATGATCGTTACCTTTGATGCCTACTTGCTTGTCGTTTTGTTTGCATCTACTTGAAGATATGAGCAATCTTTTCTGTATCTATCGAACAGATCGTACTTTCTTAGTTTAGTAGAGTTTGCTGGGGAGGCGATTTCTCATGAAATTATTCCTGTTTTCTAAAATTATCTTTGTATCTGTTTAAAGATATTCTCTTGCATATATACTTATTAAGTGATTTTTTTTTTAATTAAGCAAAGTATTAATCAAATTAAGCAAAGTGCTGCAAGTAATTCTTTCGAGCCAATTCCCATTGCGCTGCGAGTCTCTTGGAATTCTCATCAAGAGAATATCCTTTTCTATGCCGTTATTTATATCCATTTGTAGGTGTAGTAATTGTGTTACGTTAAATTACATCATATCGTTGCAGATTGTCCTCCTTGCCATCGTGGCGGCCGTCAGCGCTGGCGGATATGGCGGATATGGCGTAAGTCACACTCATATTCGTCATTTTGAGACTCACTCTGAAACTTCTGTGATATTTTTAAAGTAGCTGCGATCTTTATAACATGAACATTCGTTCGTTTTGTGTTGAACTCGACGCAATTACGACGTTTACGCGTAACACGCGAGCGTCGTATGTCGCGAAGTGTTCAAACAATCGAATTCTGAAATTACATCCATTTCGACAAAACGACTTAGTTAAACAATGGGTGCGTTCAGACACAACGGTTACACAACGGTTGAGTAATTAGTCAACGTAATTGGTCTAAAGTTAGGGATCTAACAGTAAGGACCAATAATCACTGACCGTTCACTGATCAGCTATATTTTCTGAACGCAGCCAATGATCGTATGCCAACGAATTAGAACTCATTATTGCGTATTCAAAAGGAGACTTCATTCCATTTACAAGAAAATATTATAGAACTTTATCGAGGACAAAGTTGGCTCGACTTTACGAATATTCTTGATTGAAATGCTAAACTTATGCAGTATGTATCTTTCTGTGTATACATTTGCGCCCCCGCGCGCGTTCAGATGCACACAAGGGATGACCGTGGTCGTCTCATACTCAGAGCACGATACTTAAAGCATCTACTAGAATAGACTGCAACTGACCACATGAGATACTTCGGACCAATGAATTAACGTCGGTATTCTTCGTGTTCTGCGCAGCATGGTCCCCAGGTGATCCACCTGCCGGCTGGCCCCCAGATCCCAGCCCAGAACCCCGCCCCGCTCGCCCCCCACGGCAATGACCATACCACCAGGATCCACTACTCTGGCTCGCATGTGGGTCATCCACACTTGGTGGGTGTTGAGCACTACAACGCGGCCCCGCACTACGAACCCAGCGTCACGAACGTCGCTGTCGGTCACGGCGGAGGATACGGAGGATACGGCCATCACTAAGAAGAAGTCCCCAGACAGCCAGCAGACCCGCTGGTCCGGGGTGGTCCACGCCGAGCGCGTCATCCTGAGGCTGATATGAAGGCAGCTCGAGGCATATATACATTCAGCGAGACCACGCAGACGCGAGATCACAAATAGACGGGCCGGCGACCGGCGATTGATCGGTTGTATAGGTTAAACCGTCGATTTTACGTCGCGAGCGCGTCCTCCACCCGCCGGACGATTCCGATCAGGCGGCAGGGAGGACACGTCGTTGGGTCGCACACGCGACCCACGGCGGCTCGATCAGTGGGATTCGACTGCCTCAGGATAGCCGCACGTCTTGGGCCACTCGAGGACCGCAGAGACCAGGCAGCCAGACTCTAAGCAAAGCCCCTTTTTTATCTCTTCTTCTTCTTCTTCTACGACCACTTATTCAGACTATTCTCTTCTGACTCTTCTCTTCGCCACCTTGACGCTACATATGACACGCATCACACATCACTACCCACCACCACACAGAGTATGCGCGGAGACCAAGGAAAAAAGATCTAGCAGGCCATCCATCTGCCTCCGACAACACCCCCAACGATCAGCCATTCGCCCATCGTCTCGTCATCGAAATTAGTTGTGCGGCATGACCTCGAAGAAGACACCACGACATCAGAGCGGACGCCCTCTTTCTCCCCCCTGCCCCCCAACCCTTTATCATTCGTCTCTCCCGGCAACAACACTTTTATTTATTTTGTAATAAAAGTTGATTTTTATGTCTTGTGATAAAAAAGAACCCGGCTACTTTCTACCTCGATCCCACCCCACAGCGACTCGGTACCTGTCGCGGCATCCTGAGATTAGCGCAACATTGTCGAGGAAGTTGTCTAACTGGATCGAGGGAAACGGGAATGGCTACGCGACTCGCGTCCGGAAAGCGCACGCATGCGAGGCCGCAATAGTCCAGTAACGTGATGTGTATGCCTAATTAATTATGCAACAGCAAACAGCCGGTCGAGAGCGCAGTTCGCCGAAAGCGCCTGCGAACAAGGCCGTCGCAATGAGCGAGCAAACAATTCGTTCCACCGCGGAATTTCAACGCGGCTCGCGCGCGACTTCGCCGTGATCACGTAATATGCGATCACGTAAATTGATATATTATGCTGTACGCAATACGCGAAATAGATAGTGAGACGCTTTCGCGTGCGCGAGCGCCTGGCTCGAGGCGTTTCCGCGTCGGCGGCTCTGTCGCAATTGATCCACCCGCGGGGAAATATGCGTCTAAGAGTTATCGACCAGATTGTTGATTATCTGGGAGAAGCCGGTAGGGACCATTGGATCGCGCTGCGGGAAAGTTTTACGTAGATTGGCGCGATTGGCCGCGGATAGACGCCCTGATTGGACATTTTCGCACGGGGGTGGTTATGCAATGCGTCGGGAGAAGTGGTTGAATGCAAGCCATTGCGATGACGTCAGTACGTATATGAGTATTTGAAATATTCCGCCTCCTGTTAAAGTTCCAGACCTGGTCGGTTGGAGAATGTCTCTGAAAGTGATTTCGGAACGAGTTATTTCATGCTTGCTGAAGTCATCCTCCTCGAGTTTCGAAACGAGTTTTGCAGAGGAAATTTCCGGGGATCTAATTTGTATATGCACGGAGAGAGTATTATAGTTTTTCTTTTCATGTAAATTCCTTTTGATTTTACTATGTCTCTAGTAGTGCTGGAACAGACCGTCAGTAAGGAACATAGTTAGCTTTGCCAAGAAATAGCAAATTATTTTATACAGGATAGCTTTGCTAGGAAATAGCAAATTATTTTATACGAATTACCAGTTCTTAAAATATAAACATGAAGGAAGGGGGTAATAAATTGCTGCAGAATGTCAATTATTAGTTCCAATTGACTGAACACAAATTTGAAAATTGAAGAAAGTCCGTTTCCCTCTTAAAATCACGTCTCTTTAAAACGCCACACTTCTAATTTGAATTTTCATAGGTTTCCACACTGAAGTCTAGAAAGTGTTGAGAAATTACTTTACTGCGACTAGACATGACAATTTCTCGAAAGCATCCGGATGTTAGCGCGCGCGAAGAAGCTCCTCACTCACCCCTTAGCCTCGCGAATCAATCTAACGTGTCGCCGGGCAACCGCTTGTCCAAACAGACCGAGCCTAAAGCCGTCGTTGTCGTTTCTATCGCTGCGATAGAAACAGGTACCGTTTGCGAGCGTGTCGATCGCGCTGGTCACGTGCGTCCTCTCGCAATTAAACGCGTTCATAATTAATCGGCTCGCTGTTTAGGACGCGTCGCGAAGTCACCGGCCAAAAAAAGAGGGAGAAGGAGAGGGAAAGAGAGACGCGCGCTCTCATGGAGAACCAGGAGGAGCTGTGGCGACGATCACGATGCGCTTCGAGATCCGAGCTCGTATAGCTCCTGAGGAGGCTCCTGCAACGCGGTGCAACGCCAGATGGTCTCTCCCTCTATCTGTCTGTCTGTTTCTCCTTCTCATGTGTCTGTGTGCGAGTGGGTGCACCGAGATGAGGGAGCACGTCAAAGTTCGCGCTCGAGAACTTTTCTTTGGACGTATTTTTAAACATTCTAGAGCACCAGGTGACTTATAATGTGACGCACCATCTCACCTTCCTCGTGTCTCGAAATAGAAGTGGCATTGATAAGCTCAAGGAGAGAAGACTACGGCTGACATTCATAGTCGAGTCTTATATTTAAGATCGTCTTAAGTTCGTCTTCAGATACTTCGTAGCCAATGAAATGATTCGTACAGCATCTGAAGATAAACTTAAAACGATCTTGAGTATAAGATCCGACTATGAATGTCGGCCTACATCCGAGTTTGCGCCCGGAGTTCACGTGCAGTTTCTTCCATGCCGCTTCCAGACGATGCACACTCGCCGTCGATGGCGAGTTTAGTCCGCCCAGAGAAAGAGAATAGAGAATAGAGAAAGGGAAACGAGGTCACCTCGGCGATCTCTCGACCGATTTATTGATCTTGGTTTACGAGGAGAAGAGAGATATATTATAAAATAAACAATATTTATTCGAATATTAATGACGTATTTGCTTACGATGCAAATGCATGTTTTTGCGCTAAGAGACAATTTTTTTTAAGTGAGAAAATATACATTTCGTTAAAACAACAAACTTTTACGAAAACAATTGTTTACTCGATTTAAGTAAAAATCTTCAGATTTAAGGAAATGTGTCATTAATATCCGAGTAAATTTCATTAATATCTGAGTAAATATATTTTCTATTTCTAAATATTTCTTTTTCTCAGTGTGCAAAAGGTTTGTCGTATTAAATAAGAAATTATAAAATTAAACAGGAAACGAAATTATCTAATTTCGAGGAATTAGTCATTATAAGAATAAATGAGCTAGGTATTTTTCCAGGCATCTAACGAAGACTTTTCATTTCGCTCTTAACACCTGATTCTACGAGAATCTGATAAAAAAGTGATAAATCTTTTGCATTAACTCGATATTAATCTGATCAGATATTTCTTCGGAGAAACACGAGCGCTCCTCTGACGTCGATCGTTAGTCGATTTTACGGTCGTTAGCCTTTACAGCACGTTTTTTCGGGAAATCTCGATCGACGATTGCTCCAAAGAGCTCAAATTATTCCGCAACTCCACGGAATTGTTCTACGAAAGCGGAAAGCGTAGGAACCGCATACACGAGGAAAGCCGGCGCGGCCGGTTCCGCACGACCGTCTTGTATCCTCGATAGTGCTGCGATTACGAGCGCATTTCGTCGTTCACGTTTTGCTACGGCCGGCCGTATATTATATCCCGTCGCGTTCTCGCCGACACGATTGCGCAATCGTTGCGCCGCCCGTAATCGCGCTCGTAATGCGTTATGTTCCGAGTTCTTGCACGCGCTCGTTTCCCGGGGAAAGCCGCGTGGACGCATCGAGAAAACGCGCCTGGCGCGCAGAACTTTCGGTTTTTCTTTTTCGCGCGACAGGCCGACCGAAATATTCGTCGTCTTGACTTTACATGTTTTAAATAATAAAGAAAGAAAGAAGAGAAAAAGAAAATACAAAAATAATTCATGAATATACTATAAATTGAAATTCGCTGGAAAAAATTGAAAAGAATTGAAAATTGAAAGAAAGGAAAGAAAAGGAAAATAATATAAAAATAACTCACGAATATACTATAAATTAAAATTCGTTGGAAAAAATTGAAAAGAATATTATAACAATTAAAGTTTATATTAAATTAAATTAAGAATTTGAATTAAGTAAAAACTGAAGAAAGTAAAAACAATTTAAAAATAAAGAAAAAAAATTATTCAATAATCAAATTCGACGAGCATGCTTCCGCTAACAATTTATTTATTCTCATGATTTTTCAAGTAAAAAGAAAAAAGAGAGAAGAAGAAGAACAATAAAAATATTTAACAATAATGATACAACAAATACGAATTTGTTGGAAGGAAATATGGAAGAAGATGCTGTAAAAAATAAACGTGAAAATGAGGAATCGGAAGGAAAGGAAGTTACTCGGCCGAGCATGCCCTCCTCACTGCAAATTTACTTACTCTCACAGTGCGATTGTTTGCAACGCTACACGTTATGCTCGCCACGTCGTGATATTTGCATCGAAGTGAATGTCTTATCGCATAAGCGATCGACATCGATGTGTCGCGCATACCCACCCACCTGTCCGCCATATAATTACGGCACGTCGTTCGGAGATTTTCCATTTTTTTCTCACCCCGCTCCTACGATCCTGCGCTCACGCTCACATTCGACTTGGTGGGAATGTCGAGTGCCGTTCCGTATGGAACAGCTGCAGCGGGAGAGAAAGGGTGGAAGCGGACACAGGGGCATTATGAGAGTTGTGTTCCTTATAGAACGCCGCTCGCAGCCGCCGCCGCCCCACAGTAGGGTCAAATGAAACTTCAGGTTTCAAAAAAAAGCAGCCGACCTCGATGCTTCTTTTTTCTCAATTTCTGCCTTCTCCTCCTTTTAAATAAGAAAGTTAGATTTAAAAGGTCAGCATCAAACAATTCCGAAAGTGCGAAGGAACAAGTGCAAAAGTTTAAAATATTATTCAAGAACAATCATTGATAAGAAAAATAAATAACACGATAGTAATAATATTTTTAGTCTTACTTAATTCAGTAGTTTTTATTTACTAAAATTTTAAACGCTTTTAGACGCTTTCTAATTAATCTCGTTTGTTAAGTTAAGATTTCATGAGACTATGCCGATCTGTATGACTTTTTTCAAGCCTACAATCAGGGTTTGAATATTTAATTTCACACTTGAGCCTCATGTTAAATTAGATAGCATAGCAAATGAGTTATCTACTGTTTGATTGAAAAACTTTTCTAAATCTAACTTCTTTATGTCTGATTTAGGAAAAGGAAAATAAAAGACCAAACTTTAATTCGGTAAAGTTGTTCCAGATTTTATCAGTTTTCTCATTGAAAAGAGAAAAAAGGTATCAGTTCAAACTTCGAAGCTGTAGCCATTTTCGAAATATGACATTTCATTCGACCCTGCTGTGCGCTGTCGCAATTTGCCGTTCGCCGCAAATCGGCGCGAACTCTTTCTTCTCTGTATACGCGTGGATAATCGCGGCATGTGTTTCTTCGCGACGTCACACCCAGTGATCGTGCAAAAAGCGAATCGTTATCATCATAGCCCCGAAATGCGAATGCAATTGTGAGCAAGCGAGCGGGCGCACTTCGCGATCGAAGCCGCTCCCGCTTGCGCAACGCGCTCGGCACACCACGTGGGCTTTGACACTTGCGACATTCGTATTCCAGTGGCATTTTTTATCGAGCTTGTCTCATTCCGCCAGCATTCGTTTAGTTTGTGAAATTTGCGATTTGCGGCAATTTAATAATATTTAATTGTACGACAATTAAAAGTAGGAATATATGTTGCTTAATATTGATTAATTAATGAATAATATTGTGAAATAAGCTAGTAATAATTAATGAAATATTCTACATTAGTCATTAGTCATAGATATCTAGTCGATCGTATTATAAAAATACGGAGGAATGTTGCCTCCATCATGTTTGTGCAGTCAATCACAATAATTAGTTGTCTGAGAGGTTGCGGCTTCGTAATTTTGTGAAACATGTGCCATATCTAGCGGTCTCTCCTGTTACTTGACTCTTTAAAGTCTAAAGCTTGATCTACAATGCGTCATTTGCTTCCTGTTTCTTTTCCTTTATCTCTTTCTATAATAACTCAAATCTTAAGCCTTAAACTAAAAAAAGACAGAAAACAAAAAACAGGAAGCAAAGAGCACATTGTATATTAGGTTAATGTGCTCTTTGCTTCTTGTTTCTTGTTCTCTATCTTCTCTAGGTTAAAGTCTGATCTACAATATGCTCTTTGCGTTCTGTTTCTTGCCTTCTGTCTTTTTCTGGTTTAAAGCTTAAGGTTTGAGTCAGAAAGAGATAAAGAGAAAGAAGCAGAAAGCAAAGAGCATATTGTAGATCAGGCTTTAAGGTGAAAAGAGATAAGGAAGAAGGAAGGCAAGAAAGCTTTCAGATCTACAATGAGTTTTTACTCTTGAGATTCAATTGCTGCCTTCTCCTCGGATGCTATTGAAGTTCTCCTAAGTAACTACGATAAGAAGGCGTAAATGAAATAAATTGAGACACACCATTGATGACGCCAGATAAACTGAGATACGGCGTTGCGAGATCAGGTCGCGTGCGCGCGCGATCAACCTGTACGTTATCTTGATCAGTTTTCAACCGGTCGCAGTCGAAAACGGCCTGATACGTAACCGTGCCGGTCGGTGAATAATACCGCGATATCGTCAATTTCAATCGCGCCCATTTCTAATGATTGCGCCGCGCGCGGCGAGCCCACCAATGACTACTGGTGCGGAAAGTTCGCCCCGTTAGTAAGCATAACGCGCCGATACCTTAAAATAATTTATGCATGAGTCTACTAATCGAGCCCCCAGTCGTCAAGTTACCGGTAGCGTATACTTGGCGACGATAAATTTCGCGAGTTCGCTATATTCCGCCGATATTACTTATCCTACAATCGAGTGTGGCCATTAATACTCGCGTGTCAATTGCGGTTAGATGATGACGACGATATATCTTTGGACAATTGGTAACGTGTATAGACCCACAGTGGTATTTCGCTTCAGACGGGTATCGCCCGATTGTATTACGCTTCAGCCCGATGCCGACTTCGAGACCTACTTCTTAGATTGCGTTTGTCTCATAAATAACGTTTTTTTCAATTTTACACATTAATCTCTTAGGAGCGCTTGTTCAGTTATGCGTGTCTACACGTTCATAAAATATTCCGTCGAGACGAGATTGTTTTATGTACTTATATATATTTAATTTTATTTATTTATTTTAATTATATATACTCGATTTTACATATTTTTATCGCATTTCAATAATAATTTATTTTATTAAAAATATAAATGACTTTAATAAAATATAATTTGATATTTAATATAAATTTTATATGAAATTGTTTTAATAAAATATAATTCTCTATTAAAAGAATAATTTTTTTATAATTATATTTTTAATAATTATATTTCTTTATTATATTTATTTTTAATACTTTTCTTTTAATATATTTGATATTCTTTTGTTTTTGGTAAAATATTAAAATATTTGAGACAATGTTTGTAAAAATGATATGTTTATGTATATTTATATTTTGATATTTGACACTTGATGTTAAAATAATAAAATGTCTCGTCGAAGTGATATTTATTTAATATTAATATAACAAGACATATAATATCTTGCATAGCAAGAGTTATGTAAGCGCTACGTTGTCTCATGAAAAAGAGATTAGATTTAAAATTTAAAAGAAACAAGCTGGCTACAGAACACATAAATAAATAATGAATCAGTCAAAAAGTTCGGTTCGATTTCCTACCTTCTCGGCGGAGATTGTTTGTCGAGTGATTTATTCACTTTGTATGTAGTAAAGTCGCAAATTCGAGATATCTAACCGTATTTTTGTGACTGACCCAATAAAGTGACGAAATTCTCATAAATCTTAAGTTATCTTGATAAATGAGTTTTATTCCTAAGATTTTCCTCTGAAGATAATAACGTCGATATAAAATGTATATCTGCAGTACTTGTGATAAATGGCGAGCTCATTCTCAAGGAACGCCTCACATATATCAGATGTACCACGTTAATACCAACGATAGCGTAATTAACTCGAAACGATTATAGAAACGATAACGTAATTAATATATCAGCTTCATAACTTTCTACAGAGAACTGTTCTCTTCGGCGCTTTCTAAAAAAGACGATCTAAAAATACGACATTTACTAAAATATATAAAAACGACATTTAAATACATCACCTCGATTATCAAGCTTTTCTAATCTCTTTCCCGATACAAAAGCTCGTATGAGCACACCCGATATGTTACCCTAATCGATCTCGCTTCCAAACTGCTTATCGATTATGATGTCACATACATGTCTCGTCGTCGTCATTGTTGTTGTAATCATAACCTTATTCAACTGAATAAAAAGCTCTTTTGCGATACAGAACACATCAGCTATCGCTCTACTTATTATTGTTAGGACAAATGTATGCTCTCCCCAGTGGGATATCAATGTCCTGGCCTTATCCCGTTCTCGTCAAACGTAAAACTTTTCATTACCTTTTGCTAAAACTACGTGTAATATTAACGTGTCGAATAAAGTGAAAGTAAGAAAAAGTTGTACCTTCAAAAACCAAATTAATAGAGAAAAGGGTCAAGTGGATGAGCCCCTTAACGAGCGCGAGCGTTTCGCAGACGCGAAACGGCCGGCGTACACGGCGCGGTTGTTCTATTCGCTATCTGTCGGTCTCAGTAGCATGAATAATGAATGCGGCGTGGTGCGCCTTACGTAGTCTCGGCGCTCACTTTCTCTGCCCGCGTAATAAACCGTTTTTCCACGATACGCAGTGTTTCCTCGGACACGGAGGCCGCGCACCTCCGACGGGGATTCCGGTATTCCTCCAATCACCCCGACCACGATATTCGCGGCAGCGCCGACTGACCAGCTCGTCTGCTCGTCTGCGATCGTCATTACCCTCTACTTAACGATTCCATAGCTAATCAATTGATTATTTACACAAATCGAGAGAGGCGGACACGTTTGTGTCGATTGAGCGTCTGATGGCGTAATCGTTATCCCGTTGAGTGTAATCATATATGTAACATTGGTTTCACTCCGCAATATTTTCTTTCTAAATACGATCAGCTGCGTGCAACTTTTATCTCAGGATTGTTCAGACAAACGGACGTGCTTCGCTTTTTGTCTCGTTGTTAATTCGCTCGTTGCGCTAATTCGATTCACTTGGCTAATTCCTCAAGCGTGCGAGAGGAGAGAATTGAGAGGCTTCTTGAGCTCAATGCATGTTGTTTTCGCAGGTGGAAACACCGGGATATGCGGGATTACGTAAACGTGCCGTTTGTATTATGCACTTCGTGACTGTGTGGGGAGGAAGTGTTTTGTTTTTCTACGCAAATGAGAGTCCCTAACGAAGTTACGGGACCCACTGCGGAAGATGAGGTGCCTCCCGACAACGCCAACTCGCGCTCTCCGTACGTCGTAATGATCGCATTAATCGTCCCATTCGCGAAATCCAATCGCGATACGATCGATCGAACGAACGGGAAAGGCGGATTTCACTTCGCAGCGAGGTGGAAGCGAGACAGGCCTCGCCCGCGCCGGCACCGCCGTCTTGTGAAACCGCGGGAATTCGTGTTTTCGTCCTGGAAAATTCGGTATCGCCGCGAAAATCGAATTGCGTTTCTGTGCGAACGACAGAGATAGCGACGGAAAGGAAGATTCGAGAAGGTCCGAGGATGAAATATATACAATAATAAATATATACAATAAAAAAAAATTATATTACTTGTATTGATTCCTTTTTTTATCAATTTTAAGAGATTTTATGACAAAATTAATTTAAAAAGTTTATGACAAAATTTTGTGACAAAATTAATTTAAAAAGTTATAAAGAAATCTACTTGATGTTATCAATAATAAAAAATATAGTTTTACATTTTTTACACTGATATTATTTTTCTAATATCACGTATAATAAATTTCTTACTTTTTCACGAAATTACGATACAGTATTGTCGGATCTCGCGGCTGTGCTACATATCGCGAGTTTCTGGGCAGTTTTTCCGGATTAGCCTGTATTCGCGGCGCGCTAAATCGTACACGAACAAACGCCATAAACGAGAGAAGTCGAGCATAGTGGTTTCTAATCTGATCCGCGCAGTCACGGCGGCTATAAATGAGAGAGCAAACGGCATTACTCGATGCGCGATTAATCAACGATCACCGGCGGCTGAACGCTTCGCGCGGTGCTCAAGAAAGAAAACGATGATATCGACCGTACGCTTCAAGGCGCTCGCCCACGTGTTTGCGGAACGCTGTCTACGCAAACGACAGCAATAACGTGTTTGCAAAAGTCATTGTCGTTCCAGGAACGCGAAGGCGCGAGAACCGCTTGTACAGAAACGCCCCAGTATTTTCCAATCAAATGATAAGAATCGCGAAATCGCTCGTGGGAAACCTTTTGGACTTGCGGGAGAGAGGAAGTTCATTGAGCTCTCGCGAAAATGACGCTAAATTAAATAAAACGCTGAATCAAACGTAACTTGATTTTCACGTATCTCTATGAGAAAGTTGTCCCTTTAAAAGTTGGTTCTCATTTTCTCCGGTGAGGCTCCAATCAATTTTATTCTCGGCCTACTAAAGATTATTCTCGGTTCTTCTTCATAAATTTCAATCTCTATTCTTCAAAATCTTCTTTCTTTTAACTCGTTTCTCTTCCTAAATTATCTATTTAATATCTCCGACTTATCATTACTCATCTTGCTAGTATTTTTCGTTGATCGTTCTTTATCCCGTTCATTGCTTCTTGCTTCTTAATTACACCCTCATCATCAGAGGGCTTCCTAATCATGAAACCCTCCGGAATTTTCCCTCGTCTCGCTCAAGTATCTCCACGCGTGGCCGTAATCATTCCTCTCCCTAGTATTTGAAATCGATTCTAGCAACTAATGAGCACACATCTGAAATCGGCAGCCGCAGGTTGCCACGATTCGCGACGGAAGCCACCCTCGTCTATCTCCTGGCGTTCGTTCACACCGGCTAGAGTCCGTTGAATATCCCTCGTACGTGTCCCGATGACACCGAGGGGGTGGAAGTCCTGTCGATGATGGAAGATACCGAGGGGCCAGTGTGGTCGTGGGCGAGGGCGTTCTCGCGCGGATGGGAAAATTGACGTCCGGCCTGTTTGACGCACGAGAACCACTGGGCAGGAAAATGTGAACGTATGGGCACCCGGTTGTCCGGCGACGACGGTGTGTTCAGTGTCGTCAGTTCGATCCGGTCAGTGGGCCATTCAGCATGAACAACGAGCGCAGTGAGTGTATTTTTACGCCACCCCCTTTTGCTCGCTCTCTTTCTCTGCCTCTCTATCTCTCACTATCTCTCGCTCTTTCTTTTTCTTCTCTCTCCTTCTCTCTGTCTCTTTTTCTCTTTCTCTATCTCGCATTTTTTCGGCTCGCAACACACCGCGCACTAGTTACCCACCACGTAACCGGACATTTCCGTGACATTTTCTCACGTCGAAGTCGCGAAGTCGGCAAAAATGTCGGAAAGTTTTCACGAGTTTCTTTGAGACGGCGCCGCGTTAACAGGGTTTCCGCCTTCGCGCGCTTAACTGACTTTATTCTGATGGCGCGATAACGAAACCAGGCTGTACGGATGAAATAGAAGGTGGCGTTATGAATATGGGACGCTCAATACGGAAAGAACTTTGGGAAGAGAACAGAATGCACATCGTGATGTTTGATTTTTACTAATTTTTTCCATCTTTTGCCTCTTCGACTCGGGATAACAAGCAATTATGTCATAAATTTTGCAAGATATTTCCTTGAGATTAAAATGAGAGAGCAAATACTTTCATAAATTTTATTTTATTAAATTATATAATTTTATTTTATTAGATTTTATTTTATTAGAATTGCGAATTAATTTTAGATATAATAGAGCACATGTACAACACGTGTTAATTTTACTAGAAATATATGTAAATTAATTTTGGATATATTAAAGAATAATTAAAAAACATACATGCTAATTTTATTAGATTTTACATTTTACTAAAAATATGTAAATTAATTCCAGATGCAATTAGAAGATATGCATATTAACTTTATTAGATTTTATTAAAAAATTTATTAGAAAATTAGGAATATGAGAGAGAGAATTATACAAGTTATATATCTATACAAGACTATAATATAATTAATAATATAATTCATGTGCAATTTAATATCATTTTACCGCCATTTTATGGGACTCGCGTTACTTTCATTAATCGGTTTTACTAATCGGTGTTACGTACAATATTTCATTTTTCTCAGAAGATGATGGTTCCGTTTATTCGGTTGGAAGCCAGAATAACCTGGTACCGATAAGGTCCCGGCAAACCTTGTAAGTAAACACAAATGGGAATTAAATTCAATTGGCGTTCTTATTAGTACCCCGCGAAATTACTAATACTCGACTCTACGATTATTCGATCTTATCGTGTTTGCAGCTTCAAGAAGCAGACTCAGATATCTAATTTGCTGATAGTAATTCTACTCTTCCTGCTGTTCGCCTTGCTGGTTACGGTCGTGGTGCTCGCGATACTCTGTAAGTTTTCTCGCACATTCCAGACGGAACGTAATTCGTAATTGCAATTTACGAAACAGCAAATTGATATTCTATGCACTCTGTAAAAGGATGAAAGCAATTCGAATCGAGTCAAACGAACTCAATTTCAGGATTGTATGTAGTGACTAATACTGTGATATCAATTCTTTTGAAAAAAAAAACCTTGTATTCTCTTTTAATCTTTTTTTCGTGTAAAATAAAGTTTCGTTCAATGAAGCGATCATGAAGCCGAGTTGACACGTCGTGTTGACTCGTGTTAACTGATCGTGTTTACCGTTTAATTCACCCGACTTTCCAACTAGAAGTGACATCGCTCGCGTTATACAGTTAGATCTACCTTTTGATAGTTCAAAGAAGAAGACAGTTCCATATCATACGTTTAAGTTCCTTCAACTTTCCCCTCAACTAAATTTGGAGTTCAAATTCTTATTCTCGTCAGAGAGTTACTTCGATTCGACCTAACTCGGTTGTAAAAAAAGGTGTAACAAAATTCGATCGGAATTCCGACACCCATTTTCACCTATTCGATTTTCTTCTTAAGATCGCCTGCTTCTCTTTCTTTCCCACGAACATTTCTATACAGTTTATAAGAATGCAGAGAAACCAGCACATTTCTATACCGTTTATAAGAATGCAAAGAAACCCGCACGCGAAATCGCCGTCTTACGAGTTGCACACGAATCCTTCAACTTCAGGCGAAGTTCATTAGAATTGCAGTAAGAGTATAACTTGACAAAAGGCATGATAGCTGGGGAACGACACGCGTACTACACAACATACTGACTCAGCTTAATTCTCGCAATACCTTAATACATCCCCTTTATCAGTAAGTTCGAAGCAATTATGTTATGCTCATATCCTTGGCAAATTATTCGGAGACCATTCAGCGTGTTCGATCGGCATTGACATTGCGGGAATTTGCGTGTAAATATTTCAGGCACACTATGGATCCCGCGACGGCGTGCTCACACTGTATTTCACGAAACAGTTTTCGCTACGTGCTTCCTATTATTATGTAATGTCCATAGAGTCTCTCTTTTTCCCTCTCTTTCTCTGTGTACACGCACATGGATCGTTTTCCTACGCAATACGTAGAACGCGATAACTCTGCGAAGCGTGCGCCCCGCTTTCTTTGGAACCACAGCTTCCAATTTAGCGTCGACCTCGCCAAAAACACCGCTCTGAAACACCGCTCGTGCGAGGTTAACCATCGGAGATACTTGGCATTCTGCATTTCATATTTCTCTAATGAACATTAGGCGAACTTTACTCGACGGAACGTCAATTTAAATTATTTAATCATAATTATTTTAAATATGAGCTATTAAAGCATACATATAGATGGCTAACTGTATGGAATTATCCTTCCAATGCCACATGCGAATACTAGTTCGACAAAAATCCGCATGAGCTTTTTTTATGCATCAACTCAATAAATTGTCTGCTAAAAATAAAAATTAATCATGGCTTTTGCAGATGCGCTCATGACGCACAGCACGATGAAGATATGCGACAACGAGGAGTGCGTGCGAATAGGTGAGTTATACGACGATAAATTGCTTATTGTAAGCGAGTTAACGTTCCGTTAAAGAAAATGGCAAGGAAGAAGACGGGGAAAAGCGCGGAGAAAATGTATATAGTAATATTCGCCCGTGTCGAGGACGACTTTTCACACGATCTTTTTGTTCACTTGTTAGCGGCTAGTCTGAAGGAATCTATGGACACTTCTGTAGATCCCTGCGACGATTTTTATCAGTGAGTAAATTGGCCGTGGGCGTGATGCACCGGGCACGCGAAATCCCGCACACCCTGCAGACATATCGCTTTGCGTTACGCAAATATCGCACTGGCGTTTTACTTTCACTCGCTTGTGCAAAAACACCGTTCTGCAAATTGATGCGATTTCACTGGTCTAGTGAGTCCAATCCCGGCGAAACACCGCGGGAAAATTCGTCTCGTTTCCGCGGAGGAATGCCAGCGCGCGCGCGAGCGAAATTGGATCTCTTGTTCTTCGATTTTAGAAATCGCTGAGTCGCACGAGCGACGAGTCGCGTTACGTTTAATTACATTTTTCTTCATTATTATATTAAATTCACACACATACACATACACACACACACACACACACACACACACACACACATATATATATATATATATATATAGTGTTTCACTTTAAGTGATATGGTCGATTATCTCGCGAATCAATAATCTTATTGAAAAATTTTTCAAACAAAAGTTGCATGGCTTGAAGGGGGATACATGAAGGGGGATGAAAATGTGGACTTGACCTTGAGTGACCTTGTTAAAATCAGGTTAAGGTCATTAATGTTTTTTTAAACGAAAATCCCTATTTTTTATTACATATTCTTGTAGCTTATCGCGAGAGCTTTCCAAAATACTATAATAAAGTTACGTTTCATTGAGTACTTTCCGAGTTATGGAGCTTGAAAGTTAAGGCAAGACCGATCACTGATCCGGCCAACTAAGGCAAGACCGATCATTGATCCCACTTAGGTAAAAAAATAAAAAGAAAAAGCTATACGAGAAAAAGAGAAAAGTTGAATCGTTCAATTGGGAAGGATTGGACTCAATTCCGTGCGCGTGAGCGTATGTCAAGCAGTGCGGATAGATCGCGGAGACGCGCGCGCATAAGAATCCCGCTCACACGCGCATGCGTACATGGATAATGCCGACGGTACTGTAACCTTCAAGCTCCATAACTCGGAAAGTACTCAATGAAACGTAACTTTATTATAGTATTTTGGAAAGCTCTCGCGATAAGCTACAAGAATATGTAATAAAAAATAGGGATTTTCGTTTAAAAAAACATTAATGACCTTAACCTGATTTTAACAAGGTCACTCAAGGTCAAGTCCACATTTTCATCCCCCTTCATGTATCCCCCTTCAAGCCATGCAACTTTTGTTTGAAAAATTTTTCAATAAGATTATTGATTCGCGAGATAATCGACCATATCACTTAAAGTGAAACACTATATATATATATAT